CCAAGAAGCTACATCGTCATCGTCTTCTCAAGTCATGAAAGGAGGGATATCAAGACGAGGTGAATGGTGTGCTGAAGATGGTCTGGAGTGAGGTGGAACATATTCAATCCACCGTTGGGAACCGTACAACCACTCGGATCTTCAAAGACATCATGCAAACCACTCGCCTCCGACGCACCTCACGCAAGACAAATTGCTTCAACATGTTTGTGCACATTGAAATTCAACGAATTAATGAAGGCAAGTATATTTATCTATGCACATAGGAGTTGGTTATGACTGTGGAATGCTTTTAGCTGTTGAATCCGATGGATCTCATTGCAAGGTCAGCGAGTGTGCTTCCGAGATAGCAGAGAGGTGGAACTCCATGTCTGAAGACAAACAAAAGGCGGCTACCGATGGCACCTTGAAGGAGTTGGGTGATAGTCACGAGAATCGACAGTTGAGCATCCACAACTCCTCCCTCAGCACATTTCATGACTTCAGAACAAGCATGGATGCTGTCAAACTTGAGGTGAGTGCAGTTCTCTTATATTTCTTCTTTGTTTATCATTCCTCTTAGCTTCAATGACTCAACGCTTGTACTGGTACAGAGGCCATCGTCATTACTGTGCGATCAAACCTTGGCCACTTCTACTGGCCTTAATGTGTTTTCAACAAGTGATCGGCTGATAGAATTCATCAACACAGCCTTCAAGCAACCGATCTCCGACGTCGCCGCTCGCATGGAGGGTTTTATGATATCGGGCGTTGAGGGGTTGGTTCGAAACCATCAACAGCGACTGCTGAAGAAGAAGGCTGATTTGTCCGCCCTTGTACTTAAGAAATTACGTGCGTCGTCACTCATTATACTATGTTCTAGTTCTCACTTTGTTTGCAGAGGAATGTGCAGGTCGTACAAAGATTTCTCGGATGTACTACGTGAATTTCGCCGACCACATTACTCGAATCCATGGCATCGTTGTCAAGAACTGGCTGCTCAAGAAATTTGTCAACCCCTCCTCCCTCAACAATAACATTGAGTTGGACCTTCTGCTCAACGCATGGAACTCTGGAACGACTTATTTTCACAAACTCACTACCTCCGAATATAACGCATGGGAGGAGGTTGGCTTCGACGAGGTGTTCGCAGTAACGACGATGCAGACCCAAACGACAGGTGTCGGCGACAGCGACGATCTTCCCGCTGATGGTGCTACCGATGTTACTTCGTCGACAAGTACTGACGATCCTCCTTCTCCGTCGACGAACGCCAGCGATTCTTCTACACCAAGCAACTCCGATACGTCGACTGGCAGCTCTGCTCAACCTCTACCCCCAGCTGCCCCAGTTCCAGTCCCAATGACTACAAGCTTTATCAACAACACAGTCGGCGGCGTCAACGGCCAGACTGTGATGGTTACCCAAACCAAACGAAAGCAACGCTCGGACGCCGGCAAGCCAAGGAAGAAAAAGCGTACGTTCTTAACGCATTCTCTTAAGCTACTAGCTAATGATATCCTTAGGAGCCGTAGCCAATCAGAACGATTGTCCTCAAGCCGTACCCTCTACATAGTCCATACCTTACTCCCCTGTTATGCTTATATACTATCCTTTGTCCCATGCACTGTTGAGATTAATATATGTGTTGAACCTATGTTCGCGATTGCTGAAAGATAAAATGAACAAAGCCGGCGGGGAGTTGAGGGCGGCACATGACTTGTAAAGTCGGGATTATTATCCGAGGGCGGGGGACAGCGGGCGTAGTGAACCGAGAGCGTCGGGCGTGGGAGAGGAATTGGCAACGGCGTCAGAGCCGGGGTGTGGGCCGAGCACGTGCACTGACGAAGAGGTGGTGACTTGTCAGAGTAGAACGGCCGTCTGGACTCCTTCCTTATATATAATTAGCTGAGATATTGAGGGAATTATTGGCAGTGTGAGGATATAGTAATATCGGAGCTATTTAGATTACCCTACCCCTGGGAGCACGGCAAGCTATTTAGGGTGGGATCATGTGATGTACAGGTGACTTTAATTGCATTGCCTTGCAATCAAGCCTAAAGAAAGAAACGACGCATCAAATGTCCAAATGAGGGGGGGCTTGGTTAAACGAGTTTGTATGGTCGTACTTAAGTCTGGAGATTTCAATCATACTGATATGCCCCTTCCATCGACGTAGCTTGTAAGAGTAGTCATGCAGAGGAGTGGGCCCTTGCACATGGCAGGTACGAGGCCATGATTTGTTATAAAAGAGTTGAAAAAAATAAAACCAGAATATTATCTGGGCATCAGCGCTGGGGCATAGTTGTTGGATGACATGTCGGACTGCTAAATCGACATACTTACATAGCCCGTAAGAGTATTCGATATCCATCGCTCTCTCGCCCTATTCTGGAATTCACACGATGTTTAATTACCGCCTTGTGAATTTGTCTCCTCGCTCGAGACATCACTCCGCATGTTATACTAACAGCCAGGCACTATAACTAAGTGGCTACGACGACATATCAGAACAATGGTAGGTAATAAGTAGGTAGAATACTCCGGTTCCGATTCAAGTCGCCTCATGAATCTGCTGTGTTCTTCGCCTGTTGCTTTCCGAGGACACAGGTTCAAATTTGCAAATCCTGCTGGCCGTCATACTTACAAAGATGCTGAGTTCCTGAGGATTCTTTTTGGCTGTCTTCCGCTGTACGAGCCTAGGCCTTCTCTGAGATTCTTACACGGTGCGCGAGAACTAAGTAGTCGATTTTTGGAATTTGTTTGCGAGGCAATTTTCAAGTTAACCAGAAAAGAATTCAAACTAGGGAAGTGGCGACTGCGTCGGCTCCAACCTTTGCTTGCGGTGAAGTACCGAATGCCTTTTGAATCTTCACCGTGATTGCATCACCAGAAGTAAAGCACAGCCGCATTGGATATGATTGAAGGTTCAGACATTTGACCATTAGTGACGGAAAAGACGAAAGGAAATGACCATACAGATAACTGAAGACAGATGAAAAGAAACGAGCATCGTGACGGATGACAGAAGAGAACGCTGACGCTACTCCAAAAAAAAAAGATGAGAACGCTGACATGTCGGGCAATATTTGGTCTTGTTTACAATACATGGCACTGCAGGCTTTGGCAATATTCGGGAGTATGAGCACGTGAATAAGAGCGTGGACACTGGAGAGACCTACAATGTAGTAGTAGCAAGCAAGGTAAATTTGGGAGCTGTATAAGTTCATCTGGAGTTTCCACCGAGTTTATACGAGGCTTAGCTGTAAGGAGGAATCGTCCATGAAAAATTTCGCCCGAGCTCGTCACCGATGTGGTCCTGTTTGGATCAGAAGTCAGGCTTCCTCAGCACGGTAACAGTCGATGGGTCTGTTCCATGAGTCGTACTCGCCACGCTTGCAGTGGCCCACTTCACTTCTTTGGGGTAGAATCAAGATAGCGTAGGAAATGAGGGAGATGGGTCGATATCAATAAATCAAGCCCTATCTCCAAACTGAAACCTTTCAACACCTCTAGTTCCTCCCTTTCGTGTCTGCTAGGTATAGCTTACTGGACCGCCTCTGTTGTTGCATTCTAATAGTAAACTTTGACGTGTCCAGCATGTCATGGTAACTTGAAGTGAGTGATCAGTTGATGGTGTTATCTGAGGCCAGGAATACTCTTATCATGAAACGAGACAGGCAAAAGCGATGCTTGGTCAAACGCAAGAAGATAATTGATTTATGATTCCAAACAACGTTATTGAATACAAAAACAGATTGAGTTTTCTTCAGTTTACTGTCCTTTTAGTAAGTACACTAAGACCCGACTGTAAATTACAATAAAAACCCGTTCGAAAAAGCAGTGGCATCAGGGAGAAAAATGTTGATTGTGAATATTGACGTTTAGGTGGGCTTGTTAGCCTCTTGTTGAGCCCGACCGGATTCCTTCTGGACATTACCTGTGAAAGAGATGGAATTGAGTTGCGTTAGTAACCTTAAGTCTGTCAGTAAGGTTTAATCGACATACCAGCAGCCTGTTGTGATTTGTCGCCAGTGAGCGCACCAACGACTGAGTCTTTGTAGCCCGTCACAGCGTCTACGGTTCCTTCGGCGTAGCCCTTGGCTTGCGCGGCCCTGTATGATTTGATTAGGATACGTTTTATACAGTGAGTAACTCAACTTACTTGTATTCGGCCTCTCCTTGGGCGTGCTCCTCCTTGCCAGACGTAGTCCAGGATTCGGCTCCAGTAAGGTTACCGATCTGTGAAGGTAGAGAAATAAGGAAGCGTCGGGTCAACATCTGTCATGAATCGAAGAGTCTGGAGGTACATACAGCCTCGACGACGTTGCCCTTGGTAGAGTGGAATTGGCCAGTGGTTTTGCTAAAGACGTGTAAATTAGATAGGTCGCAAACAGACGCCACAGGAAAACGAACCTGGGTTCGTTGGACATGATGTTGAAAGCTGGGAGTGTTACTCGACTGAGATGTAGAGGGAAAAGGTTTGATGGCTTTCGAGATGTACTTCGACCTCTTTATATAGGTATGCACTAGTGAGGTCCGGGCGTCTAAGACACCGTCGCGGACGGGGATCGAGTTGTCGGTGATGTAGTGTGATGTCACTATGACGCGTCGAGATCAATCACGTTCTGACAGGATAGGGGGAATAGGCTAAAAATGCCAAATGCTGTTCGGACAAGAAATGACATGGCGAAAACCCATGAGATGAGGTCCGGACAGCGAATCCCAGTGGAACTCTCGTCCTCGATGCTCACCGGTACACAGGGTATACCCAGCTGAGCCATGCTGTGGCTGGACCTATTTTTACTTTGGACAGAAAGTCCGCCCCAAGTTCAGACGAGAAATTTCCCTCAAAAGGGTAAATTTCTCTGCATCAGACGTCCGGGTCTCATAGCTACATATGTACCTAAACTCGAGGGGTGGCTACGATCTTTTTCCGGGTTTAGAGGGGTAATCGTTTCGGAACTAACCTACTAGTAGTTTCTACTGGTGAGAGGCATCAATACTTGCTAAGAGGCGATGGTGAGATGGCCGAGCGGTCTAAGGCGCCAGACTAAGGAGGATCAGGGCACGTGGTGTCCAAAAAATCTGGTCCGAAAGGGCGTGGGTTCGAATCCCACTCTCATCACTAAAGAAAACGATCCTGGTATTTTTTTGGTCTATGCCTAATCCAATTGCAATCACCGGTGTCATATCATTGGATTTGGAAGTTGACTTCTGTTTTTCGTAAATGTGGAAACAAAACGTCCAACTCAAGTTCTGGATCCTATGCATCGCTCTTATGCATGGAGTGAAGTACCCCCACGAAAATTTTGATCAGCGCGGCTCGTTATCAGCATGGGTACAATGAATAAGGCGGAGTATACGTTCCATACTGATGGAATGCATGTAAATAGTGGGCTTCATATCAGAGATGCATAGTCTTCCTGAACCAGAAAGAGCGACACCTTGCATAACATAAATTGTTCCTAACAGTATATGTAAATCCTTCTCATATTAGGAGACCGATGTACTAGAAGTCCGGGGTCATTCTAACTGCCAGGTTTCTTCTGGCTTAGAGTTGTAAGTTTGGAAAACATTCCAGTGTTCAATATACATATTCGGGTGTGGTAGAGAACACACGTAACACTCCGCGGCCTTTTGGTTTCACTTAAGTAGTTAAATTGTCTTCGACGATTTGAACAAATCACTGACGGTCTCGGAATTGGTCGAAGCTCAGGAGCTGAGTTCAAACCCTCACCATTCCCCAAAGCCACAGATTTGGAAAACCTTTCTAGATTTGTAAATAATTATGTCGATACTCATCACAGGCGCCCCAAGTATAAATCCATGGGTCAATCTGGATTCTGATGGGGTCTCGTATGTAACACTGGTCTTCAGGTGGGTCACAGTACGGGAGAAGATCTTCTGAGTCTCAGAAGTCTGTGCGCACTCGCATTTGTCCGAACCTGACTTCCCAGCTGAGTTCTTACGGAGAATCCGGTTGTGTTCAAGTTATATAATCAAATCCGAGGTAGAGAGCCTCTTGGCTAGTTGGACAGCTCAAACGTAGGCAACTATTTGCCTTGATTGGCAGGCAGTTAAACCCAAGTTGATCCGTAGTCACTTAGATTTTACAGTCATTTTTGGTCAGTAGAGTGAAGCTAAGGCTTTCTTTATAGTAAACGAGCATAGCAATCAATCAAACAGAGCGAGGCGCGATCCATCTCAGTTCCATCATTAGTTCCGCTGTAATAGCCACTGATCCTCACCCAAGTCATAATTCAAATCGTTGCGGTCCGGAAGTAGACGCGTCGCGTCTCATTTACTGTTGCGCACGTGTCAGACAGCATTCTTAACCCTAGGCTAGGGGTTTCCGACGCCATCGCTTGGGTTGTCCCATCATTTGCATCGTCTGCCTCCAGAACTGAGCATGCGCGAAGTAGTCAAGTCTTCTTTCTTGTTCTTCCAACAGTGCTGACCCTATTGTGACGAACAGGTTCTGTGAAACAAGGTATATCGATGGCATATAGGTCTGTAACCCCGGGTTAATTGGGTTTGCGTCCTTAGTTAGTTAACGGGAAAGTAACAGATCTATGGATGACTCTGCGACAACCGATGCTTCCCCAGAACTGTTAACCATAGCCTGCAGATTCGGTGCGTGTTCGCTTCTCTTGGTGGCTTCATTGAAGTCTAAGTGATACCTACTTCCAACAGTTCCATACGACCAATGGCTAATAACTCACGTCGACGCGTCATGGAAGGTGTCCCAAGTCAAAGCCTGGCTTCTCGCAAAATGTTACAACTCCTTTAACACTCCCCGCAATGCCTCTTCGTCTCTCTCTACAGCTGACCCAACCACAGCGCCTCCCATCAATCCCCCAGAGCGCCCACGTCCTCGTAAGAATCGCCGTCCAGCTTCCCCCATCGTCTTCGCTCCTGAACCTCCCAACGCCAACGTCTACGGCCGTGATGCTTACGACAGCGATGAAGGTCAAGACATAGACGGCGAAGATGGCCATTATTACGACGAGCATGGTATCTACGGTGCTGGTGACCCTGAATTTCGAGCCGGAGACAAAGCAGAAGCAGAAGAAGTGTCCAGCGTCGGAAAGAGCAGCGCGGGAGTCTCTAACATCTCCTACGTCTCCCAGATCTCTGGCTTGACGTATGCCTCAACAGCATCTAAAGCTTCGAAACACTCCCATCGCTCTAAATCATCACGGCTCTCTCTGGTTTCCGAGGGTGAAAAGTCTCCACACGATGAGGAGGCTCAATCTCCTGGAACGCCTCCTTCCAGTGGTAATATCAATGATCTCATGCCGATAGATACCAACTTGGTTTTCACTCAAGGAAAGAGCAACACCGATACCATTCGTCCTAAACGCAAAAAGGGTCCCAGAGGCCCTCGTCGACCCATCTCGCCTATGACTTTTGCTCCTATGGGTAAGAGTCCGACTTCCGCACATGTCGCCAAGGGAGGATTTGCACCATACGAGACTTATGCGACCTATTCCCCTGAGGAACCTATACCTGGAATGTCCATAGCTCATGGTATTGGGGAGATGGAACAGACGGAGAAAGAGGTGGATATGCAATCTATTGAATCAGGCTCGACTGTTCCTGCTACAGGTGTCAAAGCATCGCGTGATGGCCCTGGAAAGGGTACGTTTTCGTCTTTTCAACTCTCTGTCACTTTCACCTCTAATATACTTATGTTATATAGCATACAAGCGGTTTTTTGGAGAAGCCAGCTCTGAAGACGAAGGCACCGTTTTTCACATGGGCTACGAAGATGAAGATGAAGAGGACGACGAGTACGATGAAGAGGATGAAGAGGGCCAAGACCGAGACAAGGATGATGAAGAACAAGAGGACGAACAAGAGGATGACAACGCTCCACCACCTGGAACAGGCCGTATTGGTCCCCCACCTCCCATGCTTGCACCCAATCGACTTGACATGTCCACTATTTCCTCATCTACAACGACAATCGTTCCAGGCTCTTCGGGCTCGCATACACACACCGGGACGTCCCAACCCCAGTCCAATATCACCCTCGGTACTCTCTTCTCTTCCAAAGCCGCTAAAGACAAAGATAAATCCAAACGGGACAAGAAGGAAAAAGAAAAAATCCAAGTCCAAATCCAAAGAGCAAAAGAAGAAAGAGAAAGAGAAAGAAAAAGAAAAAACCTCATCGTTCAAAGCTCGAAAAAGCTGACCGCGGGGGGGATCGCACGAAAGATTGGGTCGAGTATGAACGGAGCAAGGAACGAGAAAGAGAGATGTTCACTTCGAGTATTTCGGCTATGTCTGGGCTTACTAACAAGACCAGGACGCGGACTAGAGATAGAGATTTGAGAGATGGAAAGGATACTATGAGTAGTAGAGATAGAGAAAAGGGAGATTACGCGAGGGAGAGAGCGAGAAGGGAGAGACAGATTCAACGTCGGGCTGGAGGACAAACCCCTTCATTTGACACATATCATCCGATGCAAGTCACTGTGATAAGATTCTCTACTGGACAACTTTTGGAGGATCATTTTGCGTTGGGATGGTGAGTTTCCTTTTCTTTTTTTCTTTACGAGATTTAGCCCGTGATCCGTGGCTTATGAATATTGGTCGTCATAGGTATGAATTGAATCCATACGAACTCCTCGAAATCCATCGCAAAGGCGTCGTTCTTGGTCTTCCTCGGACAATAACAATCGATTATATTGCGCCGTATTGGGAAGGATACGTCAGGGCTTTGAGAGTTGTGTTGAGAGCACCGCCGAATTCCTTGGGGCTGAGCGGATCAAATGCGGGGGTTGGAGGTGGGAGCGTTAGTGGTGGTAGCACGGCACGAGGGAAGGATCTACGTGAAATTCAAGAAAATAGGTTGAGGGAGAGGATAAAGGCGGGTGGTGGACTGGAGAGACACTCGTCGGTTAGAGAGAGAGGAGAAGATGGTTATGACCGAGAAAAGGATAGAGACAGAGAATGGGAAAGAGGTGGAGATAGAGAAGGCAAAGATTCATGGGATATTCGACCTGACAGTCGAGCCACTTCTCGTCACACACATGGTCAAGGACATAAGAGGATAGACAGTTTGGGGCCATATTATACTGCTGGATTGGGGACAGGGAGCTCTAGTTATCCTGCGGATGACAAGGACAGAGACTTTGCTCATGCGAGTGTGGGCAGTCAATCTTCCCAGCATAGTCAGAGTCATTCTCAGAGTCATTCTCAGAGTCAGGGTCATAGTCGCAGAGCTGGTTCGGAACATGATTCGAAGAAAAGGAGATCACCGGTATATTTTGATTGGAGGGATAGGTGGGTGTTCATCAAAGATGGAGTTCTGAATGTTTGGAAGGAACGCGATGTGAGTAGTTATGCCTCTAATAGCCCATTTCTTCCTTCTTACTTCCGGTTCGGTATCAATATAGGACCCCACCACGGCTCAATACCTCCCTCTTGCTGACCTGACCGAAATCCGGGGTTCCGAACAACTTGGGCGTTCATTAACTGTCTCATCAAGACTTGTTCCAGGACATCATCATGCTCACTCCGATACCTCTGGCCTTCGTGGCATGCTGGGTCTCACGACTTCAACGTCTAGCCATAGAATCGTTTGTGCGAAGTTCAAAGGCAAGTTAAAAGAGGGAAGGGGCGATAGTTTTAAGGAGAAGGAAAGGGAGAAAGAGAGAGAAAGAGAGAGGGAAAGTCAGACTTTAGTTAGGCTTCCAGAGTCTACTTCTGTTCCAACTTCAGCTTCTATGCACGGGCACGGTTACCCCCAATCTCGAGCTTTAGGCACAGGTGGCCCTCAGATCTCTTCTCACATCCAAACGACCATTGTTTCCAACACCATCACAGCTGGTGGTCGCATTAGGACGTCTTCTCAACCTGGCTTCTCTACGTCTCCAAAGCCAGTGGCCAAGTCATCCACAACCTCAGTGTCGACTTCAATCAAATCGGGACAAACGTACGCTTCGATGCCTCCATCTGCCCCCGGTTCTCCACCGACATCCAACCCGGGTTCTCTATCGTCCTCGCCCACGTTCCGACCGTACATACCACCACCACTGTCAATGAGGATTCAGTCGCCAGAGCTTCTGTCTGCTGCTGTGACCTCAGAGAAAGACAGAGAGATGGAACGCCTCATCG